GGAAGGGTTTGAACGGCGACATTGAAATATTTTTTTTTCTTTTATTTTTTTTCCGTTTAAATTTTTTTTAATTTATTCTTTTAAAATGTGACAATTTCATGAACAGCCACATCGGGGAGGAAACTGTAACAAATTGCTACAGATGCCTTAAACTATGCACAAAGCTAAGTGACCAAATTTGTTTTTGATTTGAAAAAAAAAATAATAATAATAAAAAAAAAAAGTGCATTGTTTACGTATTCCTCCCTCTACTGAAACATTACCCACTAATGGGTTTTTGATGGGAAAAGGAGAAAATGTTTTTTAGGACAAAAATTAAAGGACTAATTTTAAACTTAAAACATTCCATTTTTGTAATTTGTTTTACATTGTTTTGAGTACGGTAAGCACAACTGTAATCTAGTTTGAGAAACTGGTGCTTTCTTTTAGTTCATTTGTATTTCCCTGTTATTATTGTAAAAGACTGTTTATTAATTCTGTTTACAGTTTGTTGCAACAGCCATTTTTGGGAGAGAGCTTCAGCGTAAAGCCATTTGTAAAGGCTTTGCCATATTCATTTTAATATGTGCCTGTTGCTGTTAACTTTTAATTAATAAAAAAAGAAATAATCTTTTCACATTACGCTCCTGTACATTTAAGTTATGACCAAGTCCAGCGTTACGGAAAGGTAGCTAAGGCTGCAGCCAGCTTCCACTGTAAAAAACCTTTGGGATTTGAAAGTACAGTCCTCATCTGCCAGAACTGATTGCCTCTCGGAGCCTGGCCTTTTTATTGTTTGAAAAGCAAATCCAACTTACCTGGTTGTTTCCCTTCTAAAATTAAGTTGTTTATTATTCTTTCATGTTCCCTGAAGTAGTGTCATTAATCTCAAAGTGGCCATGTTTAAAAAAATAAATTTCTAACAAAAACCGTTCCCCTGAACCTGCGTGAACTTCCTTCCTTTGCTGTCAGGGCATGTTCTTGCTGTTGTCTGACTTCAGCAGAGAAGGATCGTGAGTTTAGGCTGTACCAAGCGGTAACAGAAAAGCTGTATTTTAACAGGTTGGCTCTGAAAGGGAGATACCTGCCTGTGGTGTTTGGAGCTGTCAGAACAAAGAGGTAACGGCCATGCGTGAGTAACTTACTTCGGGGAGACTGCAGCTGAGCTTCCTTACGAGCCTTGTACCGATTTGTAGGGTTAAGCGGGGAAAAAGTGATTCCTCTTCAACATTTTTGAGCAAAACATTGGCTGAGCCTGCAGCTGTTTTCAAAACAACCGCTAAAATCAGGATCTGGTGATGTCTTCTGTGACTCACATTTAAAAAAAAAAAAAAGTGACTTGGTTTACAGAAAGGACCTCAACAGCAATATGAATTTTGCTACTTGTTAACAGGCTATTTATAAGTGTGTTTTAATACAGAATTTTAATGAAAACTAAAATGAATGCATTTACAAATACATATGTAGTTATATTTCAGTATAACATTCGTAAAGTACCTGTGAGTAACACTGGTAAATCCTGCTTTCATCTGCTCTGACGGGAACCAGCACAGCTTGCCCAAGGTGCTGGAGTAAAACACGGGTAGTTTAGTTCTAAGCCACCTTCCCTGGAAAAGGGCTTTTTCCTGCCAGACTGGATTTATAAAGACTGGTTCCAGTCCCATCTGTTAGTGTACATGGAAGCTTCTGACATTTGACTAAATTTGAAAAAAATTAAAAAATCGGTGTCCTTAGTCTGAGTACTTCTGCTGGAGCTGTTTCTCTGTGGGCAGTGGAATGGTGCACATAGAAGATTTCGAGTAAAAAGATACAAATTAGGGTGCCAAAAAGTATAAAATAATTTACTTTTACAGCAGCTTTGCGATTTCATTTTCTAATGTGCTGGCACATCTTTTACGATAATTTTGTATCACTAATAAGACTTGCCATGTGTTTGTGTATTTCTGTGGTGCTGGATACCTGCACCTCACATGACCAGTTCAGATTGATGATGTCTGGTGTGAGTTTTTCTCATGGTTTAGCCTAGTTTTATGGGCTAAATTTTACAAGTTAATGATTTAATTGGACTAAGTTGCTTCATTTGAACTCTGACATCCACCCTAACATAAGTTACAAACGCTGTCACGCTGGTTTTGTCTCTCAGAGAAGATGAGACTTTAGTAGAGGTTTCCTGGGCCAGCTGTTCTGTAGCTGTGGTCTTTTGGGGGGCAGCGGAGGAAGGAGGGTTGTGCCACACCAAGGGCCTGTCAGGGGAACCCAGTGTATCCAGGGATGGAGACACCATGAAACAAGTAGATTCCAGTTAATGTTTGTGCAGAGGCATAAACCTTTCACCAGTTCCTCTTTCTTTTGTTTTTTAATATTTTGTTTTCTTTATCTGAACATAACTGAATTAACAGTGCTGTGCTGTTCTTCTGTTAGTTCTACTGTTGTTCCTGCTGCATGGCAAGGTGAGCAGTCCAGTGCTGAAGGAGATGCTGGTACCTTCCCCCTGCACTGATTTATAGTGACCATAACGGAATGTAAACTACACTTCATAGTACTACACATCACGTACGCAGTGTTTATTTAAACTGCTTTTAATTTTATATAGTGGCAATAGAGCATTAAATATAAAACTTGAAACTAAAATTAACTTTCAAAAAGGTGTTTTAAAGGCATTTAAAAGAACACAAAGATGTAAGGGCCTGTCAGTAAGACTGCCGGCAGCGCGCTTTGGAAGGAAGTTACATCATGCACACATTAACACCATTTGGAGTTTCACAGCAGGAAACGTCCTCCTCGATTGTACAATCTACGTTCCAGTTGCAAGCAGCAAAGCTTCAGTCATCTTCAGCAACCCCCTCAGAGCCACTCAGGTGTCTGTTTAAGGTGTGCTGCTTTCTTCTGTTCCTAGAAAGCAAGCTCCAAAAGGCACTTGTACTGTTCCGGCAGCCAGATTAACTTCAAACGCTAAAATATCCAGGCTCTGCTTTTTCTCTGCTCAGCTGCGGTCAGAGTAAGCCTTGGCTTCTGTCATGTGTGCAGTTCAGCTGTAGCCCTCTGCTTCCTAAGCACCTTTTAGGTTGGTTTGTTGTTTTTTTTTCAACCTGATTTCTATTTTCAGCTTGAGCCCCTTCTACCTCTGTGGCTGGGGGCATGAGCTCGGGTGGTTGGTTAGTGAGTGAGCTCTGGCAGCAGATCCCTGCTATGGGATGACCCCAGAAGGGCTTCCTTCCCCTGGAAACCAGGTTACTTGTGGCAGCTTTTACACCACCTCCTCCCTGCAAAGAGGGCCCTGAGGGCTCCTGGAAACACATCCAGGGGCTCAGGAGAGCTGAGGATTAAGGAGGTGTCCACAAATATCTCATAGCCCAGCTGAGATGAGCAATATTCCTTGGGCAACTTGCACCTTTTTTTCCTATCTAAACTGCTTCTATGCTAGTTAACGCTTACTCTGACGTTAATTATTTTACTCTGCTGCTATCTACTGGTTATTTCAAATTCATTGGACTACCTGCTCACAAAGGCTCCCACAGCATGATTTACATGCTTGTCATGTGCTCTTCACATCAGCCACAGGGTGATGCAAGTGGGTTTTCCTCTCTTACCCTTGCAAGCTCATTTGAAACACAAAAAAAAAAACCTGCACAAAAATGTGCTACTACATAAAATGTCTCATACCAGGCAGCCTCTGCGCTGGATTTAAGTTTTCACTTTCAGTAGGAAGCAAAAAAATGCACTCAGGTTTTCTTTGGACTAAAAATTTGCCAAAATTAAGTTTAAAAGACTTCAACATGAAAAAATCAGTATCAAACTAAACATTGTAGTGCAAGTTACAGTTAGAGCTCAAATAACTGATAGTAACTTAGGGGTGTATCACTCATTATTAACATGCACACAGATTTTTAGGTGGTCAGTTATGCACAAAGAATGTTATATCTATAACTTAGTGTTAACAAACTAAATCCACCACGGAAGTCTGAGTAGAAAGCCAGGTTTGAATACAAAATTAATACCTGAGTATAACGGTCAAATTTATTCCCCTTGATAAATCACATAGCACACGTTTAGTGCCTCAATTCTACATTTCACATCAGGTTTTTCCTGTGTTGGAAGAGACCGCCCAGTATTAGTGCTATTTGCAACATAAAAGATTTCTGACAAAACAGCAGTCTTTCACGTAGTGCTCTTAATACATTAAGATTTTTCAATTAAAGTCTTCATTTTTCCTGTAGACTTCAGCATGTGCGGTCCAAACTGAGAAGGAAAGCAGAAAGACATTCAGATTGCTCTCAACAGAAACCTAGTGGAACTACTGTCCATTCAAGTTGTAAGTAAACTAGCACTTGGGTGGAGATAATTCCCTTTTATCAACCTGTGCCTCTGCACATGGACTTCACCCACTTTATGGCCACAAAGTCAAGGGACACCTTTTTCACCAACAGCTGGAATCTCTCAGCTGAGGCAGCAGCTCTAACAAGAGAGAGTTCACTCTGCTACAGCAAAATAAGAAGGTAAATGTGGGTTGTTTTTTTTTTTTAAAGTTGACAACCAATTGCTCTAGCAGCAGCTTAAAAGTATTTCTTTTCTTGCTCTATCCTGCATTTTTGTACAAGTTGTGTAAAAAATGCATCACACAAAGCGTACGAGGACTGAGCTAGCCAAAGAAGTTACAGTTTGAGAAGGAACTTATGGCAGATGTTGATTAGCTCATTATGGATCAACATTCTATATTTTAACAAATTAAAACCTTCAATTTTCTTGGCTTTTGAGGGCTTGGTGATTCTTAATGTCAAAAGACGGACTGTAGATTTCAAAATTAGAAAGTCACAAAACACTCATGTGTGAATAAAACATTGCCAACTCATGTTCTTTAAAGCCCTGGAGATACAAGGGGAATTAAAAAAAAAAAAAGTGATTCTTGGGGGAATATCCGACCTTTTAGTTATGAAGAACAGCCTGAACATTACAGGAATATAAAGGCCTAAACAAGAAGACAAATAAGTCAACATTACTAAACTGAAGCACTTGGAAATCCTGAGAATTGCGGCTTGGGAATCTTATTTTCCTCAGAAATTCCTTCAGAGCGCAGCCAGCTTTTGGAGGTTTATGTGCATTTTTCTAAATGCACAAAGGGGAAAAAGTAACTCTTTAGTCAAATAACTCTTTGCTCTTCCTCTCTAGTTCTACAGCAAAAGGCTTCAAGGGTTGCTTACTAACAAAACCGACCTGTAGTAGCCTATTTCTAATTAAGTGTGTATCGGTAGGAACTTGCATCTTGAATATTTTCTGCTTAAAAACCCCTTCAATTTCAAATCAATCCGAAATAAACTAGAAGCCATGAATTTGTACCAAGATATGGATTTTAAGTATAATTTCATTTTAACATTCTCACACTATAAAGAAACTGCTTTTATTTACTCAGCATTTTTAATTATTAGACATTCCCTACAAAAAGCAGGAATTCTGAACGATTTGCTTTCTGCATTCCTAGGAATGGCTGACATGCTTCAGGATCTCGCTTCGAAATTTCACATGCACAATCTGAATGGTTAAGGTTGGTACTAAAAGGCAAACTCAGTCCGGATTTGATTCTGGTATGAGCCCTTACAACTCAAGTTTTCAACATACCACACACTCGTGGCAAGAGGATAGATTTTTGTTTGAAAAAAATAAGAAAACTGTAACAGGGCTTTTTAAGTCTAGGGCTAAAAGCGTACACAATCCTAAGAGCTGATATGAAGACCAGATGATTGCCGCAAATCCTGGATACCAGCAGTACTGCATAGGGTTCTGTGGACCCACCTGACTTGTAGGTATTTATATATGTTGGCAGAAAGACAATTGTGAAGAAAGCCAATGTCTATCATTTAGTTCAAGCATGTGTTCAGAATCACAATACTTACCAGCGTGACCTCGGTCTTGGTCTTTGTTTCAGTCTTTGGGATCATTTTTTCTGTTTCACTTTGGCTGTCACTTCGGTATCGATAAGCAAATTTCTTTTTGAGCGCTTCTGCTATTAATGCTGCAGGATCTGTAGGATCAGCTGCTTTAGATTTTGTACCTTCTGATGATCTAGAAAAGCAAATGAGAAGCATTAACATAGTCCAAAACAAAGCTTTAGAAGTTGGGAATCCTTTTGCATTGTTTGCTGGATGTCATACCAACATCTGTCTCACCTTCAAAATAGTTCTGAGTTGTAAAAACAAATTGTTAATGCATATGTTAATATACTGGTATTTATTTATATTTATTACCTTTTCACTGAGCGTAGTTTCACACTGTTCATGTCTTTGAGGATTTCTAGCATGTTTGGTATTTCAGACTTCTTTGGCCCGTTTTCTGACGGATTCTGTCCAGGGTTGGTTTTTTTGTTTTTCCTTTCTTTAATGAGCTCAATTGCAGACAGACTCTGTTGTACACCTGGAGGAGGCAGTGGCGGTGGTGGTGGAGGCGGTGGCGGAGGTGGAACAGGGACAGCAGCCGAAGTGACTGGACTTGACCCAACTACAAATAAAACACACATTACATGTCAGTTTACTTGTAAATCGCCCTTATAGCTCACAAATGCTCAGGTAAGAACATGACTAGAGCAGCTTCAATTGTCCTCTCTGCTTTCTTTAGATTATTACACAACTTCTTCGTTCCTAAACCGCCTAAGTAGACTCACTTGAAAAGCTACATAAAAATCCTTCCCAAAGAGTGAGAAGCATTGCCTGAATTTCCAGGCAGGTTAGCTCAGTCGGTTAGAGTGAGGTGCTGATAACGCCAAGGTCGCGGGTTCGATTCCCATTCGGTCCCCATGTGTTGCCTGATCTAGTTGAGAGGTGTCCCTGCCCATAACAGGGAGGTTGGATCAAATGATCTCTAAGGTCCCTTCCAGCCTAGGCCATTCTATGAAGTTCGAGTTTTAGGTGCATTCATGACTTTCCTGCCATGGGATGGATGTCACAACATCCTTTAGTTATACTCTGCTCTCGACATTACCGTGCTTCCAAGAGGCGGGTACGGAGCTGGAAGTCACATACAGCAGTGTTTCTTCCTGCTTAACCATCACAAATAAAGAACTTGCTCTACTAGACTTTTAAATATAAATTTCAGAGCTCAAATACTCCTTAAACTGAAGCTTATTCCAGCTCCCCGAGGTTAAGCATTTGTAAGCCAGCTAATTATCTGAAGATAGAGATTCTCATGATAATCTTGGATTTCAAGTTGCCTGTACTCTTTAGGTAAAAATTGATGTTATAAATATAAGAGCAGCAATTACTGACAAACAACGAAACCTCTGCTCAAAGGCATCTTTAAAGAAAACAGTGAAATGAGATCAAATCAGAGCTTCAAAGCTTGGAGCATGAAGTGTCTACAGATAAATGTTATCGGTAACAAAGAGGAGTCTGCTGTGTACATGCTGGCACACACATGGTGTTGTTACCATATTCTACCAGAAGAGGGAGGTAAAGATGATCAAATAAAATTTAATTTTCCTAATCAATAGAGGTAAAGGGAAAACGATGAAAAACAAGTTTAGCTACTTCACAATAATAACAATTTAGGAGTGATGCCATGTGATCCTTAAAACTATTTCACGGTTTTGAATATGAACAACTAAGGAAAAATAAAGTAACTGCTATCAGTTCACAGACAACTACTAAACAAAAGCATCTGAAGAATCAGAATATGATTTTATACATAAACACAGGCAGCACTATTCTTGGTAAGTGGCCTCAGGAAAGAATGAAAACCAAACGGCTGT